GTGACTTCTCCCACAACATGAAGAGACTCACCGTTTGCGGTTGATATTCGCACTGCTGAGGGCTGCAGGATAGAGCCAACCGGGACGGTTTTGGGTAGGAGGGAAACACCTGCTCCGGTGTCAATGACAAAATCAACTGATTTTTGGCCAAGTGTTGCTGCTACTTGCATGAGTGGCAGTCCATGAGCAGCATGAACTGGGATCTGCCCCTCTAGTTTCCCGACTGGGACGGCCTCGGTGAGGAGGAGCGAGAACGGGGTTGCATCTTGGTGTGTGCTTTATCAGGCCACTGACACCACGGCTTGCATGTGCGCGCTTCCACGCCAAAGTAAATGTGCGCTCGGCAGACCTTGGGGCGCTGTCCTTCACGGAACGGCTGAAGTCCTGCTGACACACCCTCTCGATGGTCCCGATCCGGATAGGGACTGCGCTGTCGCGAGCTGTATCGCTGTACGGTACTGTGCTGTCTTGATGGGCGCGTGTGTCCGTCTGAATAGTATGCGCCGCGGTCCGACTCATAGCGCTCAGATGGTGACGGTGACCGTGCTCGTGACTGCCGGCTACTGTGAGGTTGTGCCACCATGCACGAAGACTGCATCAGCGGCACCAGCTCATCAGCTAGTTGACCTAGCTGTGTCAGAGTTAGGTCACGCTGGGCTGCCAGCACGGCACCAACGGAGGGCGGCAGGCTCTTTATCATCTTGTGGCGCACGAGGTCTTCACCAACCCCGACTTTGCACGCCGTGTCTCGGAGCTCATGCAGGAATGCTGATGGACGTCCGGTCATCTGTGTCTTGCTTATAAGACGCTCGAATAGCTCCGGCTTCGATTGAGCATACAGACCGATCACGGCTTGTTTCAGGTCATCGAATGACGTTTTGGAGAGTACGTCTGGGTCGAGGCGGCTGACCGTATCAGGAGGAAGGGCCGCCAGAACATGGTAGAACTTGGACTGAGTGCTTGTGATGCGAGCCAGGTGAAATTGTGCATTCATTATGGCGAACCAACCTTCAACGGCTGTGTCCATGAACGCCGGCGGCTTTACGTTAGAAAGCATCACGGAACCTGCAACCTGTTCCGGTTCTCCTTCCATTGTTGCTGTTGTGGAATATCTATTCACTATGAACTAGGAATAGTATTAGGCAATGTAGCAATGTAAAAATCACGTCGGGGTCACCAGTTTATGGGTTAATGGTATGAGTTAAAATAATACTTTTAGTTTTAAGTTTTATTTGCAGTTAGAAACACGACTTTTGTATTTGAAGTGATTATGAATATCTAATCTTTTTTACATTTTTCGCTGAACCAAAATTACACATACAGCACAAACTCAAGTATTGTGTGTACCTCCGCTCAGGGATGTGGGTCACCACAGACCCATAGCCAACGCAAGTTGTTGAGTATTGGTCATTTGGGTCATGACATGACCTGAAAAACAAGGTCATATCTCCGAAACCAAAAACCACAGTAGCTTTTCAGTGGACGCTCGCTGAGAAAGGATAGAGAAGCAGCTATACGAAAAATCAGGCTTTTAGCGTTTGCAGAGCAGAAAAGCTACCTGGGTGTGGCACCCCCCCCCCCCCCCCCACCTCATGTGCGGGCGAGGGCTAGAGGTAATCAACAGCCAATTTTCCTGAGTTGGACTTTTTTCGAAAAAATTAGGGGAGAGTGGGGCACATTCGTGCAAAAAAATGGATAAATCCACAGATAAAGTCATAAATCGCAAAAACGAAAAAATATGCACGAAAGTGCTCCTACATAGGTAGTGCGTACACGAACCTGCCCCACAACCCAATTTAAAATATATTTCAAAATTTCTTGTTGAAAAATGACACTCTTTAAACAAACAAGTTTGCAGCAGTTCCGTGAATAGAATGAGCTTCTTCGCCGCCAATTTTGAAAAGCTGAACCACATTTCCGAGTCAGGATGACGAAAATGGATGTTATGAAAAATATTTGGAAAGCGCACGAATAATACAACTTTGCGTTTTTATCAATCATGTTCGTGATAGCAGGTACAGTTTTTTTTAACAGTGAACGAGGGGCGGCAATGATTGACATATTTTCATAATTTACCTACCTTGAGCTCGGGCAGTCACTCGCGTTCCCATGATAAATTGCTGAAAACGAATGTGCCCCATGCACGAAAGTGCCCCGCTCTCCCCTACCCGATACAAATTGTGAGCTGAGGATAAAAGCTACAATTTGCCGGGATAAAACATTAAATTATTATTTTGTAGTTCACCCTTTTAAGATGCCATATCCCAAGCTGCAGGTACACGATTTGGCCTCTCTGGGCCGTCAAAATCGACGTTTTAAGAAAAACGTCTTCCTACAATATGTCTGATAAGAAAATACTTATAGGCATAACATGAATTATTTATATTGTCAATAGGCGAAAGAATGATCTATGCTTCAGTTTTGGCGACTTGATGATTCGACCGATCACGATGGTCATGACAAGACCAGGCCAGGCACTTTTGCGTGAACCTCAGATAATGATGGTACAGTGAGATACTCGTAATGTTATTTAGGCCTGGGTGGAACTTTTTTTTCCAGGGATATTGGTGGGAAAAAGTCTGCAAGCCTGCAATGCTAGATTGTCAAGTTGGATGAAATATCAAATAGGTACCTAGGTACTACAATGAATCAATTTCCATCAAAAAAGATATTTTGCATTACGAAGTCATTCCAAAGCTCCTCAATACGGAATTGCAAAGCAACAAAGTTCTACAAATCGGCTAAAGTTGGTGGGGAGAAATACTTATTGGTGGGGCAAAATGGCCAGTTGGTGTGGCGGCGGACCCACCAACTGATATATTATATAGGAATATCGGAAGCAGGAAGCTCCGCCCCTGTATTTAGGTACAGTGTCTTTCATGAGTGTCCTGCTTTTGAAAGAGCTATTTCTCAGGACTATGTTCCTCATTTAATATGTACCATCACATGAAACAGAAACACATTAGCGTTTTTGCACACATAGCATTTTATGCTCCTCAGGAATTTTCCATTGTATCGCCTTATCTTTAAGTGACCATCCCACCTTAACATTAGTTTTGAGTTGAGATAGCCAAATTGGTGGCCATGGCCTGCAAATACCGGTTTGGGCACTCACAGCATCGAAAAATGCTTTAATTTTGGATATATGGAATTTCAAACTTAAAGTTTTCGGATTCTAAGGGGCTAATGCATTGGGATGCCCCCCCCCCAGAATTTGTGACGTCAGCGGTGATCTAACGATTTTAAAACCTTATACTAACATCTTTGTGAAGCAGTGGTGGTATATGCTATTTGCGCGCAACATTTGCCGCAAACGTTGCTCTTCCAAAATGAAGTCGCTAGAAACAGCGGAGATCCCAAAAAGGTAATCAAAAGTAAAAGTCTAATATCTTGAAAACCGGTAAATATTTTTCGGTGAAACTTGGTAGATATTCGTTTTTGCTCTTTCTGAACCGAGCAACATCACTTTCATGCCAATTCATTAACTTCTTTGAAGATGGGAGGGTCCCTTTAATTAACCCTCGCCCGTATTGGTGTTTTTCCAGCCGCGAACGTATAAGGGGGTCCGTTGGACCCCCCCTTGCCGTTTCGCCCCTGATCGAGCTAGAGCTTCGCGGAAAAAACGAGCGTGTTGCCCGTGACGAGAGGAAGCCGATGATACCCAATTTTAAGGTCCTAGGTCATTGGTTGACCTTGCTTGTTGGTTGGTTGGTTGGTTGACCTCCTTGTTGACCATTGGTTGTCATTGGTCAATGACCCCAAAGGCGGGAAAATCGGGACCTGTTAGAACGTCGTAAAGTGTGGCAGCTATGGGGTTTTTCGGGGTGCTGATCACGAATATCATGTTAGTTTTGATCACAGATGATGTCTTCATGTATTTAGGCCAGGTCGGGTCAGGTCAGGTCAGGTCAACCAGTAAGGGTATTCGTAGTAGGTGGCAACCGCCTCTGACAGCTTCGTAACATGTTACGAAGGCACCAAAACTACTTCGTAAATGGTCATATGGTTGCTAAATTCGAATTCAGCTCCAAAAACTGGCCTAGAAACATGTAAAACTCGAAAAAGTGAACCGAGGTCATCAAAGGTCAATGACCTGACCTGACCTTTAGGTGACCTTGACACCCACCCTAATGCATGGGGGCAACATCATATCACATGTTTGAACGCTTGAAACCACGAAAAGACTGCAAACGCGCGGCTAATGCGAGCCGACATACGCCGAATCGCGATTCCAGCAAAACGTGGTCTCGAAAAGTAGGTCACAGGTCAAAGGTCATTTGGGTCAGGGTCATTAAATTTTCAGAGTAGGTGTGAAATTGATAAACGCGAGGGTACTGAAAGTTTCGTTGCGATCGGCCGCTTTTTACGCGAGTTATTCGCGAAAAACCATGGGGGGGGTCCGTTCGACCCCCCCCCCCCTATACGGGCGAGGGTTAAGGCGCACGTTTCGGCCCGCTGACGAAGGTGTCGCAAATGCTGCGCCTCACAACGTCGGGGTCCAGGCTTCCAGCAAACCTCTCCAATTTGGTTCGCAGTGGATGGCTGCATGAGGGTTTTGTCATCGTAAATATAGTCGCACTTGTCATTTATGCCGTAGTAGTGCCTAATCAGATACTTACTTAGGCAGACACTACAATGTGCTTTAGTGGCATCTATTAGTAGGTGCGACAACATTCAAACACTTCCAGGTTCGATTCCTTGAAATAAGGCGATCTTCCGGCGCTCAGCCTCCGGTTGAGCTAATATGCATACAGCATTGCACCGTGCGCCGTACCTACTGCCTCTGGCAAATGCACGATTAACGAACGCCGCCGTGCACGGGTGCATACGTTTCCGCTTTCCACGCACACAAAGAAACACGCAAGCATATTACATCCTCACATGGAGATGTGCCTCGTCATAAGCACGCATGCATGCACAAGCACACATCGCCACTCACAAACAAATCACAGGTACGCGTCCTCGGCATTGAAGGTGAGGCACGAATCGCCGCCGTTTACCTGTAGCTGGTCCACGCTGTGTTCGCCGCTCAGCCGTCCCTCACCACACCGTCACGAGCCTTGCAGTCGCGTGCCTGCACCCGGACAACACTGCCGCTCCAGCGACACTGGGGGCTGGGGAGCGCACGCCGCACACCCGGTGCCGTCGTCGCGCGGGAGGCGTCGCCGGGCCGCGGACCGCCACCCCACACGGGGACGGCTCGCGTTACGTGCTCGCGGCGGAACTGAGCGAGCAGCCGGCCGGCCGGCCGGGCCGTGCTGACGCCGCCGCTGCACCGTCGGCCGGTGCTGAGTGGCGCGCCGGTCCGAACGGGAGGGGTAGGGGCACTACCAGTACACCCAGACAACAATGCAGTGGAACACCGGTGCGGTGCACTGCAATCACGTCCCAATGCATCCCAACTGCCGGCCTGTCGACCTGCCTGTCCCCGGCACATCAGTCATAATGATGTCATTTTGACTGGGCCGTGACCTGGCAACCAACTCAAACGTCAACTGTGCTACTGCTGCCCGTCAATGACGCGCACAGGGCAATAATTGCACCGTACCTCCCCCGGTCCTCGCACCGTGGACCACGATATACACGACGGTGCGGCGGAATGATGGTGGGGGGGGGGGGGGGGGCGACATACGACGCTGAGACTTATCAAGTTGAAGGAGAAGCACCACGTCATTGAAAGGAGCTGTAGGCTGCCTTTTCACGTTTTTGTTTATCCTCGCCGGATCTATTGGTTGTCTAGGCATATGCCCTCGCCGAGATGGGGGGGGGGGGGAGTTGGAGCCATATTTCCTTTTTGTCCCTTTAAGTTAGAGCCTCGCGAAAGAAAAACGAACAAGAGCAAGTCTCCAGGTATTAAGTGTCTCGTTGCCGACATCACAATAATCGACCTGCACTGATGGATGCGTCATAGGGCCTGTAGGCTGTTGAAAACCATTGCCGGAGTGTCCGCACGAACCATATTCTCATTTATTATTTTGGGCTTGGGTCAGTCACTTTATGAGTGTCTCTGTCATTCAAAGTTATTACCGTAAAGTGGGGCTATCCAATGGGAGAAAATTGAAAGATGCCTCTGTTGGACGAACGCCTTTTAAACACTCTCAGACATAGGCATATTGGCAAACTTGACACATTGAATCTGAAAATTGCACCTCTGACCCATCCTTGTGTCCCTGGGGTCATCTCATGTCATGCAGGGGCGGTCGCAGACTTGGAGTTTGGGGGGGGGGGGGCCAACTTGGCAAAGGGGCCATTGCGCTGACCCGGGGGGCCCGGTGCTAGCTTAAAGGGGCCCACGGGCGTAGAGCACGGGTGCAGAAATCCAGGCCATGGCCGGTAAAGCGGGGGGGGGGGGGGGGTAGGGAGCGGCACCCACCCGAGCGGAGGCTCATTGCGAGCTTTGAGGATGTTCCATGTCGAAAAGGTACCGATAAGTGCATTTTAAAGCATTGTTAATGCCAATAACTCACGCAAATGTGAATGGACTACCGCAAAAGTAAAGACGGCTAACTTTGCCATTTTCTGAGATCATCGTGCTAAAACTTCTGACAGTGGGTCATCGGTAGGGGAGAGTGGGGTGGGTTGTATCAGTTTTTACTCCGAGACCCATAACCTCGTAACTATCCGTGATAAACTCATTATTTCCATACTATCTCCTTCCTTGATTCTTCTGCTTTTTTGTGCAAAGTAACTTTTCCGCTACCTCTACCAGTTTTTCTTCTACGGTCTGCCGAATAGAACAATGTTTTTGATACAACTTGCCCCATGGCTTGGGTGAGTTGTATCACATGGTGGGGTAATTTGTATCACGAGGTATTTCACGTTTCAGGGAGTGTGCTTGCTACTGGTTTTGAACATAACAACAACATTAAATGGAGTTAATACAATGTATATGCTCAAAGGCTTCAGTTTTATTAGACCAAACTTAGGTCAATGCAATCCGAACGAAACATCGAAACGAACGAAACATCAACAGACTATTTGCAAAAGTGGCCCGTTAAGAGCAAAGAAGCCAACACATTGTGCCGAAATGGAACGAGTACTGACTAGCTACCTACAAACGCGAGACAGGGCTTAGCTTTCGCGATCAAAAGCAACATACCCATACATACATACATGTTACAACATACCCCACCCGGCTCTGATACAACATGTACCTCGCCGCCATCTTGGAAAAAAAAACACCCTCGTGCTCAAAAACAGCGGACAGCTGGAGAAATCCATTTTCACTCACGCAGCCTTAGAACCTACCCTCACCACCGCTACGGAGATCTTTCAAATTCGTGCACATCTAAATGCCCAAAACACACATTTTCTTGCAACTCATTTTTTTAGAATGACATTAAAAAAACATAAAATCGGCTCTCACCTCGAGACGCGTCCACCCAGCCACACGACAGAACAGGGAAAGATGGCGCCCGGAAAACCTCGTCGGCTGGTCGTGTCACGAGCGCTATCTATTGGATAAGTTTGGCACAATTCGCCCTGATACAACTTGGACATGATACAACTCTCCCCGCTCTCCCCTATCTGTTCACTGTTCAATCACACGTGTTCCGTTTCATTTTTGTTTTTTAGGTACTTGAGCACAAATGTAAGTTTTGAAGACCATTACAGTAGCAAATGCTTCGAAAGATGGATAGTGGGCAAAATATCCTAAATTTGTCGTGCTGCATGGAAAATAGTGTTGCTGAGAAAAGGGGGTTTGTTCCAGATTAGGTATTGTGGATACAGAATACATTGTCTGCACCCTATGCAGAATTATTGTTGGTGCAACTGCGCCCACGGCACCCATGGTTCCTACACTTATCGGCCCATCGATAGCGCTTCAGCGATACCTTTCGCCTAGAGGCTGCAATGGGGCCCTTATAGTACGGTGTCAGACCCCAGAGCCCGGCGTTGGATCCAAGGGTCAGCGAAGGGCCTCAAAGGCCCCAGGTAGGGCCCCAGAGGGGCGTTCCACGACAAATCGACAAGTGCCCTGCACCCTCATATTTTATTTTTTGCTTAAAATTGGTCTAATGGGTTGTGATGGGCGGGGAAGCCAGCTGTGGCAAGGATTTTTTTCTTCGAACAACGGTTTCCGAGATATAGCCTCGGGCAATTCTTGGAGTTCGCGCTGCAGTCCTATGTTTGGCGGCCTATAACTCAGAAACTATTGGTTTTTTACGATAATAACTTCATATAATTCAACTCACAATCAACCAACAAACATTTTGGCTATCTCGGATTTTCAATTTTTGAAAATTTTGATCACGTGACCTTTTGTCCTATTTTTCGAAGAGTGACCTTGATATTTTCCCCACTGAAAGTTGCAATTTTGTCTGATGACGATTAAAGCCTTATCAATTGTCATTCATATGCGATAGTAAAAAAAGTGGTTATCGCCCTGCGTTGACCTCAGGTCAGGTCATTTTTATGACCTGTCCATTATAACGAGCGGGAGCGACAGCGAGATCTCGAGAATAAAGCAAGATAGCGACAAGCGGTAAACGGTAAAGGGTACACACGGATAAGGTCTATAATTTTTACTGAGGTCATTTTCAGGTCAGGTCAAAGCTGACGTCCAGGGGCGTCGCCACGGATTTTTGAGTGGGGGGGTCGGGTTTCCGGTCTTCGTCTTGATGGGTAGGGGTGTTTTTAGCCACACTCCCGGTTTTTTCGTGTGCCCGGAGAAAAACCTCGGCGCGCAGCGCCGCGAAAGCAGCGGTATATCTTATTGTATATCAATTTTGCATCGTGCATAAAAATCAAGCACAGGTCACCTGAGGTCAGGTCACAATGTCATGTCAAGTTCAGTTTTAATGCCTCTTAAAACTGCAATCTTGTCATTCCTATAGATTATCTCCTGACTCCTTTAAGTCTGAAATTTGGTGTAATGAATGGGATTATAAGTGTCAACAGTTCATGGATCTGGGATTTTACATCTGAGAAGTGAAGTCAGGTCAAATAGGTATGTGACCTCACCAATCATGATAAGATATGAGAAAAAGCACGATGACTTCTGCTTTGAAAGAATATGCTAAAAACGCTAGATACTTTTGTAGCCATGGCACCTTGTTCATTTTAGAGACAAGGTGCAGCTAATGACCAGTGGTGACTGGAATGGTCAGTGATTAGGTCATCAAAGGTCTCTAACACATTTTCGACAACAACTTTTAATGGAGACGTTGTAGAGCGATGACAGCACCTGGGGTGTGTTCAGCTCAGTAACACAGATCGATCCCTATGCAGCAGGTTCTTTTCTAGTCAGGTCATGACCTTTACCTGATGTCAAGTTTTCTATTCAAGTTCAAATTGTAAGCCATGCGACGTGTTTGGACGAAACAAAAACGATGGTGATAACATGAATATCATTTACATTCACCGAATCATAGGTTGTTACATAACAAATGTTTCGGCAAAATCCGTCCGTTTAGCTGTTTGGACTCTATGGTACACAAGCCATAGACCCGAAGTCATATCTGAGGCGAAGTTGGCGAAAGGGCTTTAAAAAAGCTATCGAATACACTTTCTGTGTTGCTGTAGGCTAGCTCTTATTCGTATTTTACGGGTCGCTATAAGGTAAAACGCTTACCAACGTAACGCTAAGGCATGCTTTCGGCCCCTGATCGAGGTAGAGCTTCGTGGAAGAGCGAGAATGCTGCCCGTGATGAGAGAAAGCCAATGATGCCCAATTTCAAGGTCTTGGCCTGGTCATCTTAGGTCAACGCCCAAAAGTAGGAAAAATCTGGCCGCCTGCTAGAACTTAGTGAGCCGTAGCTGTTATCGGGGTCCCGAGTACGAGTTTGATGTAAGTCTTGAACAAAAATGATGACTCCATGCATTTTGGGTAGATCGGGTCGGGTCAGGTCAGGTCGACCAGCAGGCTTCCTGCCGGCCATCTAGAGTGGGTGACTGACAACCACCAACGATAGCTTCGTAACATGTTACATAACCACCATTTATCAAAACTACTTCAAACGGTTCAAACGGGCGCTAAACTCGAAATCAGCCCCAAAAACCACACTTGTAAGTGGAAGCAAATAAAACTAAAAAAAGTTAACCAAGGTCATCCATATTCGAATCAGGGCAATTTTTTTAGAATAGGTGTAAAATTCATTAACTCGAGGTCACTGGAAGTTTCGTTGCAATATACTCCTTTTTGCGCGTCTTATTAGGAAAGCCCCAGAGGGATCCACCATTGACCCCATTTCCCCTATGCAGGCAGGTCCGAGGGTAGCAGGGCTGAGGCCAGCCAGGTACCTCGTAGTTACTGATACGTCATCCGACGAATCGACTGCAACCATTATTTTGACAATCAGAATTCAGATGAACGCTTGGGTCAGTTTTGACGCGCTCACTCATTTGAGGGATAAAATGGGACTAGAATCATATTGTCATGCTGATGTTCTAGCCCACAGCTTATTGACCTATAAGCAATAG